ATAGAATAAAATACTGAGGTAGAAAAGATAAAAAAGATAAATAGATAGATAAGGTGCAAAGAAGTTGTAGTTGCAAAAGATATTGTCTTGCATTTGTCACAAATCCCCTCTACAGGTAATGCCGGTCTCACAGCAACAGGTACCTCCCCCTGCACCAATTCACAATCCAGACTCGTCCCATGCACTGGGACAGGCAACACATTCAACCCCATCCCTCGCATAAGGATTCTATCCCCAGTATCAGTCTTCCTCCAAAATATAGGAATTGACAGCTCCGGTGTCCCTCAAAATCTTAACACGTACTTTAGCATCACTACCAACCTGTTTTACAAACCCATCTCCAACAAACAGGCAGATAAGACTCATCAAAAACACGAGCCATGCAAGGATCTGGATTTCCACTTTGCCACATGCCCACATCCACAGACCCAGGAACGCTCCCAGCCAGTGCAGCAGGTTTTACACGACCACGTCATACACCAACGATTGAAGTGATTAGTTAGCTCCCTTGAAAACTCCATATGAGACTGACTAACCCTTTTTTTCCCACCTCCTAAATCGCTGACGATATGCTTCTGGAACTAACTCATATGCCTTCAGCACAGCAGCCTTGACTGGTTGATAAGTTAGATTACTGTCACTTAACGACACATAGACCTCCTGTGCTTTTCCTGACAACACGCACTGCAATAACAAAACCTGCTCAGAGTCTGACCAAGTCCTTGCTTCTCAAACAGAGAGAAAAACACATCTGGATCCCGATCATTAAATTTAGGCAAGAGACGCAAATTACGCAAAATTCTGCTCTGTCTCCTGTTTCAAACGCTCAATCGCCACTTGCTTTTCAGCCTCCAATTTATGCTTTTCTATTTCAATCTTTTGCTGTTCTAGTTCCAACTCTGTTTTCCCTTTATCATGAGAAAACTGCAATAAAAGCAATTCTTTTCATGCTCAAAGGTTAAGTTTCTTAAAAAAAGTGACTGTGCAGCTAGCGATGGACCAGACCCCTCTTGCTTATAGACAAGTTTTTTCTAGTTTTACCATTTGCTTTATCTTTTCCTTACGTCATCAATCACCAATCCCACTTAGATCAATGTCATATTCTTCAGCAATCTTTAGAAGCTGATCCTTAGTGCAACGATCTAAAAACCCCTCACTCGGAGCAGCAACAAAATCTCCTATCCCAGCCATACTAAACTAAACCGGACCCCAGCAGAAGAAAACACAAGAACCAACAGAAAGCACTGCTTAAGTCAACACAGACGAGACACTAATGGTGTCCCCACATGCTATGGATGTGTCCCCGAGACAACTGCTCTGACAAAAAATAAATCAACAAGCCCAAATGGACCATGTTGCTAATACCTGAACAGGGAAACTCCACAGAAGCCAAAACATACCACACTAGAGGACCAAACAATCACTTCTGTTAGCTCTTAACTGCCTACTAATGGCAACACCTGCTAACTGCAGGACCAAACTCCCCCTGACTGAAACAACAATCAAATCAACCAAATCTTATCCAAAAATGCATCTCCCCAAACAAAGAATGTGCCAGATTTAACACACGCCTCAGCCAAAACCAATGCACTTGCAAACAAATAACCCTACATCAATCAGGGTACCAAATAATGGCCACAAACAAGTTTGATCCCGGATAAGGCCATGACAAAAAGGAGGGAGACGCACACAACAAAGCCAGTTAACAAATTATTTATTAAAGGAAAAAAACTTAAACTAAACTAACAGTAGTATGTGAAATCAGTAGGATCAGTGGTGTAAGTGAGTGCATGAGTGGAGAAGTGTATGAGTGCTGTGTTGTGATAAGATGCAGCAACACAATAAAACCATCAAACCCAAAAACCAGACTGTCTCAGGGAAGGAGAGAGAGCACTGAGCTCCCCAGAGGGTTTTTAAAGGAGCATGGCACACAGGCCTCAAGCCACGCCACTTAAAGTACCTGCACAGGAAACAAGACAAGCCACACAACAGGGAAGACAAGGTGGAGTGGGTCGTCACACACTGAAAATCTTCCTCAAGTAAAAGTACTAATACCACATTGTAAAGACATTGAAAAGAATAAGGAAAATACAATAAAATACTATACAATACAATGACACACACTTAGATAAAAAAAGGAATAATATATACGATACATACATTAAATATAATAGAATAAACTTTGTATAAAATCTGTGATTCAACTGAGCTGCTGATAATAAAGAACTTGATCTTGTTCTGTTAGTGGCAGTCCACATCCTCTTCATTTAATCACACACCATGGTTTAATTTAAAGTATCATCACTGATTCCAATCCTGGAGCTACTAAAACCAGCTATATACAACTTACTGTTTATTATTTGTCATTTTCATGCATCTTTTGTTAGATTGCACTTCTGTAAGTATTCCTATTATTGCATCATGTTTGTATTCATCATGCTTGAGTAAAAGTACTAACTAAAAATAAATACTAGTAGCCTACTAGTTTACAAGTAAAAGTGTTCATTGCTAATTTCCTGTAAATCAACTACTTGATTAATAAACTAATACTTTCAGCTGTACTTTTTTTGTTGTTTTGTGAGCAAAAATCTTAATTTG